GTGAATAAATACACATTTTCATTGTAATTGAAAAAAAAAAAAAAAAAAATTGATATTTTTGAGTAAGCAAAAAATTTATTGTTGCATCATCGAGTTTTTCCAAGATAAAAGTATGTGGGTAGAAAATGAAAAAATTTTCAATTTTCATGGTTTTTTTTACTCATGTATGCGATAAGGGAAAGAAAATCGACACTGCGTGTTGTATATTAAATTTATCGAATTTTTATCAGCATTTTTTAGTTTCTGTAAACAATTTTTGTCATTTGCGGTGATTAAAGATGTTATTTTATTAATTCAGTTGGTACAGAACAATATTTTTAAAATACAAAAGAATTTATAAGAAATATCGATGTATCCCTATAAATAGTACAAGCATAGAAAGTGAAAGGGTGGAATATTTCGAGTTCACCCAATTTTTAAAGATACCGTGAAATTATGAGCGAGACATTGCTGAAATACGTAAAAAAAAATAGACATGCGAACAGCAACAAAAACACAATCAACATGTAAATAAATTTTTTTTTTTTTTTTTATTCAATGTATCATTTTGTCTTTATTTCTTTTATTTATGTTTCGTTAATATATATATAGAGAAAAAATGACTACAGCAGTGACTTTATTCACGAAAAGATCGAAAACTTTATCAACAAAAAGGTCACACTTTATCTCGTGCGTTTTTACTGCAATCAAGTTAATAGCACAATTAGTTTATTCAAAATGCATGGGCACAAAAAGTGATAGATTGCATAACGAAAACTTGACAGAAACGATGATACGAAAGAGAAGAAGAAAAAGAAGAAAAAGAGTAATGATAAAAGTCGCGATTGCTCATGTGTACGGTTTTATATGCGGAAGATTTTAATATTAAAAAAAAAACTATTTGTATCACACGAGAGAATGTCAAAACATTGAGAAAAATTGTGAGTGTATTATATGCGGGAAATGTTTTAAAAAAAATAATCAGTTTCAAAGACATTTAAAAAGTCATGAAAAAAACGGGCAAAAAAATATTTGTCAAAATTGTGGGAAGGTTATGTAAGAGCAGAGCACCCTAAAATACATTTAAAAGTATGTAATTAAAATAAAAATCGTAAGTAAATTGTAACAAAATATTTTGTTTTGGTCGAATGAAATTATATGCGAAAATTAGACTATTTGTAACAGTTATTATATAAGGCTTTACAAATTTATCCACATTATATATGAGGGAGCTGGGGGGGGGGGAGTACGGGAGAAGCTGTAGGAAAGTGGAGGGGAATCGAGGTAAAGTGGGAGGGAGCTACCAAAAAATTAGGATTACTCGAAAAATGCAAGAAAATGAAAGAAAAACCACCTTAAAATGGCGGGAGCGGTGGGGAGCGGGGGGAACAAAATCTTGCTCTAACTCTTACGACATTATAATATTAAAAGACTAGCAGCCCCCCGTCTCGGCTTCGCCCGAGACTTACTAAATAAAACACCATAGTGTGTTGACATGTAATGTGAAATGTTTTCAGTTAGAAAATTTTACACATATTCCTGAAATATCTAAAAACAAAAATCTTCTTATTGAAAATATATTTTTTCAGAATCCATATAGTTTATTTGGTCAAACAATAAGGTGTAAAAATTCAAAAAAATAACTATGCTGAAAAGTACCGTGCGTTCTTTATGCCATAAAATAATCGGTGGCCATAAAAAGCCATTAATTTACAGTTTCTCCTGGGGCTATTTTTTAAAGCTGTTAAGATTTATAAAATTGGGGGTTAAGCCCACAAAAAATTTATATAAAAAAAAAAAACTTTTTTCTGATTTCTCACAATTTATTACCAGAACAATAAACCTGAAAGTGAAACCCTACATTTTTATTGCAACAAAAACACAAATAAATTTTCTACTTATTTAAAAATCTGAAGTAGGATCTTTAATCATTCCAGAGATTGCTGTGAGGGTACAATGAATAGCTGATCTCTCACGTAATGGATTCTNAAAAAAAAAAAAAAAAAAAAAAAAAAAAAAAAAAAAAAGAAACAATTGCAATTTCTACAATAACAATCAGGCCCAATCATCCCCGTGGCGTACCGGTGCAGCAGCGCACGTTGCCCGACGGGATGCCAAAGTTCTCGACGTCCTTCTGGTGGAGCACAAGCAGCATGCTGCCGGCGTCCCGATGCGACGACCTCCTCGACTTGCGCTCCGAGTGCCCGGAGCTGGGGCAGCCCCTCCTACCTTGCCCATTGTTGTGCAGAGTCTCCCTCGAGTTGTTTCTCGAGCCGTACTTCGTTCCACACCCGTTGTCGTTCATCGGCGGGTAAGGCGGACAGGGCGGACAAGAGCCGCTCGGTGGCGAGTAAGCCGGGCAGGGACTCGGGGCCGATGGGCACTGCATCTTGGGCACCGGCTCGCTGCGTAAAAAAAAACAAAAAAAAAAAAAAAAAAAAAAAAA